CCATTTGGGGGAATTTCCATATTCCCTGACTTAGGACATTGACTTCTTCGCATCCTTGCGTTTATTCACCCGACTGCCTCCTCCCACTGACCTCAGTGCTTCTAGACAGCTTGCTTCCCAGACCCCTTCAGTTCTGATGTCCCTACTCTGCCCACTGTTCCCCTGACTGCGCTGTTGTCCCTCTCCCGAACCCTCCAGGAGTGTGGAGACTGGAAGCTTGGACTTAGAGCAAGAGGTTGACCCTCTCAATGTGGATCATTTCTCATGCACCCCTCTGGTGAGGATACTGGATTCCTGAGTGCCTGTGGGCAATGGGAGAGGAAATGGGCCCATGCCTCCTAGGGAAGGTCCCTTAAGGGATGCAGGGAAGGAGAGGGGAGGGCTAGAGACTGCAGACCTGGTCGCCAGAGGAAGGGCCTCAGGCTTCACCTCCATCCCTCCTCTGTCTCTCCATCGCCTCAGATGTGGGCTTGTGCCCTGGGACACCTGGAAGCTGCTGTGCTCCTTTTCCGTTGGAACCGACAGGCATTGAGCATTCCTGATTCTCTGGGCCGTCTACCCCTTTCTGTGGCTCATTCCCGGGGTCACGTGCGCCTTGCCCGCTGCCTTGAAGAACTACAGAGACAGGAAGCTTCTGCTGAGCTCCCACTTGCCCTATCACCACCCTCATCCAGTCCAGACACTGGTAAGGGGTGCACCTAATCTTTTTCAGAGAGAGATGTGGGTAGGAAGCTAGCCAGGGGGAAGTCAAAGGGCAAGAGAGGGAGAGGAGGGAAACTGAGGCAGAGGCAGGGATGGGAAGATAAGAATAGCAAGAACAGACAAGGAGGTGGAGGACAAGTATGAAGGCAGATAGCCAGCTCGAGAGATGGCAGACCGCTTCTACTCCCCTCACCCTTTCCTTCACCTTACAGGTCTGAGCAGTGTCTCCTCGCCCTCAGAGCTATCGGATGGCACTTTCTCCGTCACATCAGCCTATTCTAGTGCCCCAGATGGGAGTCCTCCCCCTGCTCCGTTACCAGTCTCTGAGATTACTATGGAGGAGGTGGTCCCAGGCCAGCTCTCCTCTGGTGCCCAGGAGGCCACCTTCCTCCTCATGGACTATGAAGCCACCAACCTCAAAGGGCCCCCATCCTCATCACCTCCCCTCCCACTGGCCTCAGATGGTGCGGCTGCTCCAGAGGAAGCTGACAGCCCACCATGTGTGGATGTGATCCCGGTACTGCTTATGTTGATGGAACTATGCGGGCTAGAAATAGAATAGGGTACAGAAGTGGGTGAGGGGTAAGGCTGACTACTCCATGAAAAAGAGTCAGTCTGCCTTCAGTTAGGAAAGCAGGGGCCTTTTACCCTATTTGGGGACAAGGTAACTGGCTGGTTTAGCTCTTGTTAGAGCTTCTGACTTAATAAGTCATAAGGCATCAGAGGTTAACAATTCTGGGGCATATCTCAATTAGATTTGGGTTGTAGCAGTTACCTGTTAATACACAGAGAGGCAAAGTTGGAGAACCAGGGTGATGGAGGAAATTTGGGAGGTATGTGAAACAGAGAGGTTGACAAGATGGAGGTATGAATGGTAAAATTAATATATGAATGAATAAGGGAGAATCTTCAAGTGAATCTTCAAGTGTGGCAACATACTTCTCTGCCATAACCTGGGGACAGACCTGCTTTAGAGTGAATGGACTCATTGGTTGGTACTCTAAGTACAAAATAATTTGGCAAACTCCTGGATAGTAGGCTGTGTAGCATGTGTCCAGCAGGAAGTACTGCAAGCTTCAAGGTTAGAGCAAATGCAAGACTGGAGTCTCACAATAAGTGCCATGTGGTCCACAAGCACTAAGCTGGTTCTTGGAGAGCTAAGGGAGGGGGTGGGGAAGTGGGTGGTAGGCATGGCCAAGTCTGTGGGGAGGATGTGCTGGTCGGCTGGCTTGGAGCAGGTCTGGGGGGACAGTGGGCAGCAGCCCTAGGAGAGTAAGTCCTTCATTTGCTCAGCTCCTGAATACCCCTTTGGAGTATGTCCTTCCTACCTTATTCTCTAGAACGTCTCAACACAGAACCTTAAGTGTGAGCCCAGAAAACATAAATGAGTTTAGAGTCTGGAATAGTAGCCAAGAAAGATGGGATTAGCAGGGACAGCAATCCCCAAGACCTCATCATCAGGTGGTATAGCAAGAAGTGAACTGAAACTACAGTTTTGGCAGGGCAGGAACATATGACAGTTGGGGCCCCTCAAAATTCATCCAGTTTCCCCTTCATCTAGGTGGACATGATCTCACTGGCCAAGCAGATCATTGAAGCCACACCAGAACGGATTAAACGAGAGAACTTTGCAGGACTGCCTGAGGCTGGAGCCCCCATGCGGGAGCGGACAGGGGCTCTGGGGCTCAGCGAGACCATGTCCTGGCTGGCCAGCTACTTGGAGAATGTGGACCATTTCCCCAACTCAGCCCCTCCCAGGTGACCAGCTCAGGACAAAACTCCAGATTCTTCTTCAAAGAAAGAGGGAGGGAGGAAGGAGGCGTCCCCATAGGCCAAGCTCCATTCTGGCTGAAGCCCCGGGACCTGTGAGAAGGGAATTGGAACTGGCTGATGAGCTCTGAAATCACCCTGGACTATTGCTGGGTGTCTCCTTTCACTGAGATGCTTAGGTTTGAGAAGAGGGACTGCAGATACCTCATGACATCCCTTCTCTCTACCCTCTACAGTGAATTACCCTTTGAGAGGGGTCGTCTGGCTATCCCTCCAGCACCTTCCTGGGCAGAGTTTCTCTCTGCGTCTGCCAGCGGCAAGATGGAGAGTGATTTTGCCCTACTGACACTATCGGATCACGAGCAGCGGGAACTGTATGAGGCAGCCCGAGTCATCCAGACAGCCTTCCGAAAGTACAAGGTCAGAGGACTAGGGGGGGTCTCCGGATGATAGAGTCAAGGAGACTGTGGGATACTAGGAGCTTAAGAGGGGAGAACAGTCATCTAGACAGCTCTCAAATGGGACGTGAAGAAGGGTCAGGGGACCCCAAGCAAATTAGAAGGACAGGTCAGGTGTCTAATAGTAGGTCATGAGGTGCTGAGACTTCCTTTTCTTCCCTCAGGGCCGGAGGTTGAAGGAGCAACAGGAGGTAGCAGCAGCTGTGATCCAGCGCTGTTACCGAAAGTACAAGCAGGTGAGACCCTTCTCTCTGGAAAGCTACTCCAACACACACACACCTCCACACACGCATTCCAGCCCAAAGCACCCAGAATGCTGCCAGAGCCCTAACTCCCCTTCTCTTTCCACAAGCTGACCTGGATTGCGCTTAAGGTATTAGGCATGAGACCTGGGTGTGAGGTTGTCTGTGATGAATCAGCCTTTCCATGAGCGTGTGGATTAGAGAAGAGATTTGTGTAAACCGGGGGGTGACTCTTGGGTTTGGGTCTCTGCTCCTCCATTTAAGCCCCTGCAACCCCTTCCCATCCCTGCAGTTTGCGCTCTATAAGAAGATGACCCAGGCGGCCATCCTGATCCAGAGCAAGTTCCGAAGCTACTATGAACAGAAGCGATTTCAGCAAAGCCGTCGAGCGGCTGTGCTCATCCAGCAACACTATCGCTCCTACCGCCGCCGGCCTGGGCCTCCCCATAGGCCCACTGGCAGCCTGCCTACCCGAAACAAGTATGACCCCAGCCCTTCAGCCCCTAAACCCTTTATGCCCATTGCCCATAGACCCCCAACTCCCAGCTCATATTCCTGTCCCTAGTTGCCCTTCCTGCAAGGGGTTCCTAAGGGGCTGCAGTATGGGATGCCTGAGTATTGCGTGAGGTTTCCTTATCATTTCTTTCTTCCACCAGAGGCTCCTTTCTCACCAAGAAGCAGGACCAGGCAGCCCGGAAGATTATGAGATTCCTGCGGCGCTGTCGACACAGGTAGTCTCTTTTCTCTGGCTGGATTTTGCCCTGCCACTTTTCCCATCCTACCTCCCACCACAGGCTCAACCTCCAGCCCCCTGGTCTCCTCTGACTCCTTCCTTGTTTCTCTGCAGGATGAGGGAATTGAAGCAAAACCAGGAGCTGGAAGGGCTTCCCCAACCTGGACTGGCCACCTGACCTCTCCACGCCTTGCTCACCAGCTGGGGGGCCGCTTCTTGCAGTCTTAACTGGGAGAGGACTTTAGGGGGAGGAGGAAGCCCCCCTGTCGGCAGCTTTCCCCATCACTTTTGTTGGAGCCTTTCATAAGACTCCATCCTCCCCCTCTGAAGTGCTGAACTCCCTCTCCCCATCCTCAACTCCACCTCAGTCCACTTTCCTCTTGGTCGAACCTCCTCTTTTTTGGTCCCTGGCTCCAGAACCCACACCCCACATACCTGCATCTTCAGCTGTGACCTACGGAGCCCTGCCTGCCCCTTCTCCACAATGCCCTCCCTGCCTGCACTTGACACAGCCCCTTCCCGACTTGCCTTATTTATTTGTTCGAAGCGTCTCTGAATGTATCCGCCTCGGCCCCACCTCTGCCTTCGCTGCGCGCGCCCCTCGTGTTTCAGGGCTGACTGCCCCCACCCTGACTCCGCATGTTTGCGTCTGTTTCCTCCCTTTCTGGCCCTGTCTTACCCCGTCACCCCGACTCTGGCCACCAACTTTGGGGCCAAAGGGGGGAAGTGTATATAGGAACGCGTTGCGGAGTCCCGCCCCCGTCCCCAGGGGGGAGGGGGCTTGTACATAATGTAACATACAGAGTATAGTGAAGAATTTATTTAAGGCGCCTTGGGGAGGGCTGCACGGCCGGGCTTGTGGTTCCCTGGCGCGGCGGGGACCTCCTGCCGGCTCCACGAGCACTTTCTACTTGTGCATGGGCTTGGTTTCTACGAATTGCCATTAAACATCGCTGCACCAGCCAAGCCTCCGGCCTCTGACTACGGGAGACGAGGGAGGGAGGGGGGCGGGGCCTCAGCCACCGTGAGCTGGAACAGGGCGGGTGTTAGTTTTCCGCCTCCGACGTCTTTCCGGCCTTAAAGGCATTTCGCCCTTCCCTTTAAGACGCACCGCCCCCTCTCAGTCACTCCCAAGATGGCGGACCTACTGGGCTCCATCCTGAGCTCCATGGAGAAGCCACCTAGCCTCGGTGACCAGGAGACTCGGCGCAAGGCCCGAGGTGAGGATCCCAAATTCACAACCGCCTTCCTTCGCCCGGTTCTCAGGAACGCACTTTAACCTCTCTGGACGCTGCCGCCTCCTCAACCTTGAAAGACCCCTCACAGGCCCTTTCAGAGACCCCCCAGAGTCCCTAAAAGGGCTGCCGACCCGCCCGCTCTTCTTAGCGGACGGTGATTGGCTAAGGAAGCCTGGCTCCAGCCTCCTGCCGCCTTCCCTACCTCGGCCTTCCGCAGTCCTTGCATTCAATTAGCTCACGGGCTGGCCCGTCCGCTGTTGGCGTGCTCTGATTGGTAGGCTGCCCCGACCGCACCCAACCCCCTGGTGTTCCTGAGCCCTGCGGCCCGCCCCCGGATTGAAAGTGGGCAGATTCGTCCGCTGGCCCCGCCCTCCACATCTTACCTCCATTCCGATTGGGTGCAGGACTCGTCCATCCGCAATCCTTTTACCTTTATTGGTTATCTCAACTTAAAGGGCTGCCTATTAAGTCTTGTTCGGCCTTCCTCTGTCCCGCCTCACCCTCGGCACTTCCAATTGGTTGCTGGGTCCTTTGGTGCGCTTAAGCCCCGCCCTTTTGACTTAACGTGGTCCCTCCTGAGCCCCCTCCAACCTCCCCTGGGTCTGTAGCCTTAAATTCCCGAGCGGTCGGAGAAGATCGTGTAGCTGATTGGAGGCGTGGGAGTGCCCTGGCTGGATGGCCATAGTTACCGGCCGCTGTTCTCGAGTAACTTCCCCGAGGGCGTGCTCAAGTCGGGCTGCCTGCCGAGGGCGCGGCCAGCGGGGTAGTGCGGGCTTCGCGGCTTCTCCTTAGGCAGCGCGCGAACAAGTCCAGCAGCAGATTGACTGGGGAGGAGCCTGGGTGCATCCCTCGCGGGGACATTCTGGGCATCTGCTCCCCACCCGCTTGAGGTGGGTCAGGCCAAGCTGAATGCCTTCAAAGTGCTCAAGTGCTGCTTAATATCCAACTATCGTTATTTACTAAGTGGTTACTAGGGCCGGGGGTACTCTGAAGAGCCCACGGTCTGGAGCATTGAGGAAATGATCCCATAGAAGTTTAATGATCAATCTGAACAGTCCTCCGAAGGAAGGAGAGTGGCTACTTGAGCGCCCTAGCCTCGTCTGTAGTAAGCTAAGATCCGAAGAAAGTAAGAGCTGGTGCTAAATGTTACAGGCATAGATGTATGTGAATTTGAAAGATCTGAGGCAGGAAGGAACGTAATGGGAATTGAAATCATTTAATGCCCGCCATTAGACGTCATGGTGGGGTTCACCAGCAGCAGTTCACAGACTAGGCATCTGAAGTTCAGAGTTGAGTCACTTGTCTGAGACTTGTGTATGAGTGGCAAGGTTCCATACCCAGGTGTGCCTTTTAAGCCTATGTTTCTAACCATAATCTTATGGGATCTTCTCAGTGCAAAGGGATGACTCACAATCCAGTTAGAGAGCAGTTAGCTGCCAGGCTGAGTCGTACCCATGGTCAGAGCTCTTAAGGGCAGAGAGATGAGAGCCCCTGAGCTCTCAGACACTGGGTCCCTAAGAATAACTGGATAAACTATGAACCAGAGACACTCTATGGGGGGTGGGGGGCGGGGAGGGGAGGGATTGGGGTCAAAATAAGGGGGTTGCAATTGTATGGGGAATATAAAAATAAAATTTATTTTAAAAAAAAGTAAAAAAAAAAATGGGTGAAATGAAAAAAAAAAAAAAAGAATAACTGGATAGATGATGAACAGGGTCCCTGCCTCCTTAGAAGTTCAGATGGGAGGGGACACAAGTGAAAAATTACATTCTGATAGTTCTCAGGTCATAATGTAGGGGGTGTCTTAACCAAATGTGGTTGGGGCCCAGAGGAAGAAGTGAGAAACTCTGAATCGTCATGGATCTCACAGTTTGCAGGAGGAAAAGCATTCCAAGCAAAAGGAACAACATGTGCAAAGCATGGAGTGATTAGGAAAATGGGAAAAGTTTCATTGCAGCTGGAGGGATTCAGATCCTGTGGAAGAAGTGGACCTTAAGGATATAAAGGATTTAAAATGGCAAAAGCAAGGAGAGGGCATTAAGACCCGAGGTGAGGAGCTTCATTGCAGCTAACCTTGAACACCTATACTCCCAAAGGAGAAGGGTGTCAGATTAGCCACCTCAACTTCATTCTGTCTGTACAAGTGAGAAGTGGGGGCGTTACAAAATATAGGAAGTTAAATAAGTTCCCCTTTCTTCTCTGAGAAAGACAGTGAGGTGATGTCCTGAGACTTAGTCTGTTCTCCTCACATTCCCACGCTCTTAGTATGTTGTGGTCATTAAATAAATGTTTGTTAGTTGTTTTTGCCAGTGGGGTTGGGAAATGGGATATATGATTCTAATCTTTGTTACTCCCATTAAACTATGAACTCTTGAAGGGCTAAGCTGTGTCAATCATTTTTGTACTCCAGGGCCTAGCACAGTGCCAGGTACAGTAAATATCAGTAAATGCTTGATGAGCAGATTAATCCTATCTTCCTAGCCTGATACCTCCCAGACGACACTAGACCTCTGAAGCCTTATTAAGCTCTCCCCACCCATGCTCTCATCTCTGGCCTCATGTTGTCATTTCTAACCCTCAGAGCAGGCTGCCCGCCTGAAGAAACTACAGGAGCAAGACAAACAACAGAAAGTGGAGTTTCGAAAAAGGGTGAGAACAATTGGAGAGATCAAAGGCACCTTCAGGAAGGATTCAAATAAGCTAGAATTGGAAGTCTGAGGGCAGAGTTTTATTTTGTTTTAAATATCTCAAGAAAGGTAAAGCCTGGGGCCTTTCCTGGTGGCACAAGGGGTTAAGATGCAACCTATGAAGCTATCCGCAGCCACTGCAGCACAAGTTCCATCCCCAGCCAGGGAGCTACCCACATGGCGCGGCAGACTTCGCCTGATTCGCCCGCTGCTCCCCTCAGCAGTGTATTTCAGTATATTTGTCTGTTCTGTTACCCACTCTGTCTCTGGTGAATCCTCTCACCCTCTGCACCTCTGGCCTGTACCCCAGTTCTTGTATGCATAAATAAATAAATCTTAAAAAAAATAAAAGGCGAAGCCTGGAAGCTAATGGCATAGAGGCTGGGAAATTCAGGGAGGCGAAGACCCATTGACCCAGCTGGGCAGAGGGATATTGGGGAGGAGCCATCACCTCATGTATTCTCTTCCCTTTTCCCTTTCCCAAGATGGAGAAAGAGGTATCAGATTTCATCCAAGACAGTGGGCAGACCAAGAAAAAGTTTCAGCCAATGAACAAAATAGAGAGGAGCATACTGTGAGTGTCTGGATTGGGGAGGACAAAAAATGGGGGGCCAAGGTGGCATGCAGGGGGAATCCTTAAGAGGAGGGCACGAAGCCCCTCATGGCTCTACATATTCTTTCCCATTCTCCCTCCTTTCCCAGCCACGATGTAGTAGAGGTGGCTGGCCTGACATCCTTCTCCTTCGGGGAAGATGATGACTGTCGCTATGTCATGATCTTTAAAAAGGTGAGAGACCTGCGTTCCTAACTCTTCTCTTTCCTTTTTAGCCTATAGCCCCTGGGGAGAGGAATGAGAGAAAACATGTATCCATTCCCTTCTTCCCCAGGAGTTTGCACCCTCAGATGAAGAGCTGGACTCCTACCGTCGTGGTGAGGAGTGGGACCCCCAGAAGGCTGAGGAGAAACGGAAGCTGAAGGTGAGTTTGCCTGGCAATCCCTATAGCCCAGCACTAGGGAAGCCTTGCACCCCTGAGCACCCATGCTCCACCTCTGCTCCCCTAGGAACTGGCCCAGCGGCAGGAGGAGGAGGCGGCCCGGCAGGGACCTGTGGTGGTGAGCCCCGCCAGTGACTACAAGGACAAGTACAGCCACCTCATCGGCAAGGGGGCAGCCAAGGATGCAGCCCACATGCTACAGGCCAACAAGACCTACGGCTGTGGTGAGGCCATAGTGGGGGCTGGAGAGGGCGGGGGGAGGAGTACAGGATAGAGGGGAGGGGAGGCCATGGCACAGGATTCCTAGGCCTCCCCACTACCCCCTCTGCCCCCAGTACCTGTGGCCAACAAGAGGGACACACGCTCCATTGAAGAGGCCATGAATGAGATCCGAGCCAAGAAGCGTCTGCGGCAGAGCAGGGAAGAGTTGCCACCTACCTCCTAGGCCTCCCCTCAGCTCCCTTCGACCCTTTGGGGCAGGGCAGGGCAGGGCAGGGGGCAGGGAGGGACAAGGCTGCTGCTATTAGAATCCATCCTGGATCCCCACCTCTGAACCACCTCCCAACAGCTGTCTCTCGGGCTGGGGGAAGGAGGTGTTTGTCACTGTTGGAACTTGTGTGTGCTTGTGTGTGCGTGTGTGTGAGAAAGTGTGAATGCACAGGTGGGTATTTAATCTGTATTAGTCTCCATTCTTCTTGGAATTTTCTTCCCCATGAGGCTGGGGCTACATTCAATAAACACTGTTTGACTCAATGTCTTGGTTTGTTTGAACAGAGAAGGATGGGTCCTGGAGATAAAGAGAAATAATTTTAAGTTGAACAGTATCAATTGTCTATAGATCAAATATGGCCAAATACTGGTACTTTTTATTGGTTGATTGTTTGATTAATTGCTTTTTAACTGAGGTTATATTCAGGTACTCCCATCAGGCATTAACACCACAGTGCACCCCGCACCACTCACTTATATTCCACCACCACAGACCATTGTGCTTCCTTCCCTCTTTGCTCTTACCCCTGCCCCTCCCCCCTTGGCGCTTCAGTTCCATAGTCAGCTATTAAGCATTAGTTTTTAAGCTCGTCTTTATATGACTATTAATTAGATTAGTTACCTTATGTTCCAAATACTGGTACTTTCATAGAGATTTATAAGAGAAAGTATTTTAAGAACACAATCACTGGAGTCAAATGGCTTAGCTTTGTGTAACCCTGGGTATCTTACATTTGTGCCTCTTCACCTGTAAAATGGGGATAGCATTGGTAGCCATCTGCTAGGACTATTTCAAAGATTACACAGGTCTACATATGTTAGATATTTAGGGTAGTTCGGGTCCTCAGAGCTCCATGAAAGTTGCTCTCCTTATTACTCTTGTAGTCTAATCTGCTGTAGGGGTTGGTGACCCCACAGTCTGGAAGTTGACCCCAGGAGAAAGGAGATCCAAGCAGTCCAAGTCATCTGGTCAGAGGGGTCCTTGGTGGAGACCACTGATAGGGGATGGAGGCAGAATTGGATTAATGGTTGAAGGGCCTCATGGAGGGCAGCAGGTCAGGAGAATTTGGAGGGGGACTGCAGCGGGGCTCATCCTCAGGAAACACTGAGACTTCAACACTGCAGTGCTTTCTGCAGACCTTGTACTTCAACTTGTGGGCACACATGACCAGCATCCCCTCATGGTGATGTCAGACCCATGGCCCCTGACCTACATCCCTCTAGCACTTGTTCCATCAGTGCTTTAGCTTCAGTTCACAGAGGGCACCTGCTTCCCCCAACCTCCTTCCAAAATGTGAACTTTGTTATTCTAGATCCAACCCAACTTCCTCTTTGACCAATCCCCTCACTTCTTTGTCCCAGCAGGTCACATGTCTTTTCTCCCCTGCTGTGCCCACCTCTCTGCCTCTCGTCTTACCAGCCCAGAGACTGGCATCGCCTCCCTTGCACAAAGGAGCACGCCACTGTCATGGTTGGCACCATTGTTTATTTCAGATGGAAGGGCTTAAAGGCCTGTGGGGTCCTGAAGCCTCCAGCTTCTCACTTGGCCTTCGGGTTACGGAATTTGCGTCCAGCAAAGACAGCCTTGTCCCCAAGAGCCTCCTCAATCCTAGAAGGTAGACAAAATCAGAGTTGCTCCCTTCCAGTCCAACAGCCCTCAGCTCCACACCCTCAGGTACTTCACCCACCGTACCTCATGAGTTGGTTATATTTGGCCAGACGCTCTGATCGGCAGGGGGCACCAGTCTTGATCTGAGGAAGGAAGAGGGATTCCAAGGGTTGGATGAGGCTGGAGAGGAGGAACGGAGCCTAGCCCTAAGGGAGCAGCCTGTTGTGGCCTTCAGGGACAGGAGACCACAAACCCAAAGAAAATTTAGTTAGACACTGCCAGAGAGGGTCACAAGTACCTGTCCTGTGCAGAGTCCCACCACAAGGTCGGCAATGAAGGTGTCCTCAGTCTCTCCGGATCGGTGGCTCACCATCACCCCCCAGCCATTAGACTGAGCCAGTTTGCAGCTAGGTAGAGAGGACACTCAATAAGGTCTAAAGGGACCTCCTCAGTGGGAGAGCCTGAGGCTGAGTGGGGCTTTTCCCTTCTGTTTGGGGTAGTGGGCACCTTGTAGGGAGAGTTCTTTGGGAAGTAGGAGATGGGGAGATTATCTGATCTCAAATCTGGAATGCTGAGATCTAGGTGGGAAGCAGGGCATAATCTGGGAGAAAGGAATGTCATGGGGTGGGGATGGGGCTCTGCAGAGTCACAACGGCAAAGATCTTGGGGTCAATCGAGGGGTAGTAAAATCTTGAAGTCAGAGGAGGGGGTGGGTTAAGAGTCAGAGAAAAGGCAGATCTAGAATTAGTGAGCAGGACTGCAGCTGGAGCGGGTAAGCTAGGGCATAGTGAGGAGATGGTGAGCCCCTGCACCAGGGGCACTCACGCCTGGATAGACTCAGTCACCGAGCCAATTTGGTTGACCTTCAGCAGCAAGCAGTTGCAAGCCTTCTTCTCAACGGCCTGGGCAATCCTCTTGGGGTTGGTGACTGTGAGGTCATCCCCCACAATCTGGATGTCGACCCCCGAAAGGAATGAGGTCCAGGTGGCCCAGTCATCCTGGTCAAAGGGGTCCTCAATGGAGACCACTGGTGGGGGGTAGGGGCAGAGTCAGGTTAAAGGTCAGAAGGGCCTCATGGAAGGGAAACAGAGCAGAAGCACTTGAATGGAGACCGCAATGGCAGTAAGGGTTGGCAGCAATGGAGGCGCTGAATTCAGGGAACTGTATTGGGCAGTTCCAGAGACTCAGGCAGGAGTGACAGGACACCTGTGGGGGGTGGGGGGCATCTCACCAGGATAGTTCTTGATGAAGCTCTTGTACAATTCTCCCAGCTTCTCCCCAGAGATGTGCCGTGAAGGGTCATCAGGTGATTTAAAGTCAAGATCGTACTTCCCATTTCGAAAGAACTCAGATGCTGCCACGTCCATACCAATCACCACCTTGTCCGGGTACCCAGCCGCCTGGATGGCCGTCTTCAGCAGCTCCAGGGCTGGAAGAGAGGCAAGAGATAATCTGAGGCTCTAGCACACCCTTTCTCTGCATCCCCCTCCTTTGTGGGAACCCCGGGGTTCTGCCCCCAGCTTGCTCAGCACTGACCCTCATTGTTCTCCAGGATGTTGGGTGCGAAACCTCCCTCATCACCCACATTGGTGGCGTCCTTCCCATACTTGGCCTTAATGACCCCCTTGAGGTGGTGGTAGACCTCGGCACCAATGCGCATGGCTTCTTTGAAAGAGCTGGCGCCCACGGGCAGAATCATGAACTCCTGCATGGCCAGCTTGTTACCAGCATGGGAGCCCCCGTTGATCACATTGAAGGCCTGAGACAAGGAGAAGGTGCTCAGATCAGGGCCATGTTGTGAGGGGTCAAAAAAGGATGTGGGGTGGGGACATGGAGTCTTGGTTTCCCTACTTACTAGCTGAGTTGTCTAGGATGTGTAATTTTACACCTCAGAGCCTCTTTTCTCATTTCTATATAAAGGGGATGCTGCCTGCTTACCTGCACGATTTTATGTTGAAAACGAGAGATAAAAATATAAAGTTCTTCTCATGTGCCTGGTATATAACAGCTAACGCTGGCACTAATCACCGCAGGGCAGGCACTGTTCTGACTGCATTACATGTATTCAATCAGCCCATCTCATTCTCAAACAACCTTACTAATCAGGGGAAATTATTATGTCCCACTTTACAGATGAAGAAACTGAGGCATAGAAGGTTAAACAACTTGCTTAAGATCACATAACTAAAGGGCAAAACCAGGATTTGAGGCAAGCAGCAGGTCTCCAGAACTCAGCCTCTTATACAATCTGCCTAGTAAGTAACAATAAATGGTAACATTATTATTGACATTAAATTCAAAAGGTTTCAGTGAAGTGGGAATTTGGTTGAATAAAGATTAAAGAAGATACAAAGAAATGCCAAGATCCTTGCCTCAAAAAAAAAAAACAAAAAAAACAAAAACCCAACTCTGGATCTAACTTGGAGGTTGGGGTACAGAGCAGAAGGAGAGGCTGTTGTTATTGAGCCTGAGAATGGAATGTGAAGGAACAGGGTTACGTCAAGGGAAAGCAGCAGAGAGGCTTAAGGGAAGGTTTGGATTGTGGGAAAGAGGGAGGGACTGAACCGCAGCAGGAGAGGTTCCATTTCAGGAGTTTCTTTGGAGCTAGGTCTGGAAGGTGGACTTTCCCAGGGCTGCTTCTGCACTCCTCACTGGGCAGGGCACCTTTGCCATGGGGAACTGGCAGGGGCAGCTATACTCACAGGGACTGGGAGAACCAGGTCTGGGTTCCCTGCAAGATCTGCGATGTGTCTATAGAGGGGCACCCCCTTCTCGGCTGCTCCAGCCTTGCACACAGCCAGGGAAACGCCCAGGATGGCATTGGCCCCAAACTTGGCTAGAGGAAGCAAGCACACAGAAAGGGTGAGCATTTCTCCCTCAATGTTTGAGGTCAGCTTCATGAACATCCCCACTGGCCACTCTAGGAAGAAGCCAAAACTCCAGACTACTGGGCACTGAATTTGTTAAAAGATCTTTCCCCAGCAGCCTAAGGTGCTTTGGGAGCCCTCACCCCAGGGGGATGTGTCAGCTTCATATCTGTGTCCACAGCCTGGCCCAGGCCTGGCAGAGGACAGGCATCAGGAAATGCCTGTGGAATGAATAAAAATCCATCCAGCTACAATGTGCCCCAAAATGAGGGACACAGAAATAATCCTAACCAGACCTCAGCCCAGTGGTCCCTCCCCTGCATGCATGCATCTCTTCCCCTAGCCCTAGTACGTCACTCACACTTATTCTCTGTCCCATCCAGCTCAATCATAAATTTGTCAACTTTTTCTTGATCCACAACACTTAGTTTCTGGAAGGACAGATTTGAGGAAGGGAGAGAGTAGAGTTAGGCATGTGTCAAAGAAACAGGAAGGCAGGTATTTAGGGGAGAGGCATGGTTGGCTTCTCCTAAGCATGGGTTGCCTGGGGTGAGGCACAGACGTATGGGGGGCAGGGGCTCCACTTGCCTTTTCCAGAAGAGCTGGGCCTAGAGTCTTGTTGATGTGTTCCACGGCTTTCAGGACTCCTACAGAGGTCAGAGGAAGGGTCCAGATCCCCAATTCCATAAGATCTCTTCCCGAGGCCCCTGTTCCTCAAAACCTTTGGGTTCCAGTCCTCTACCCCACACAGTTGTTGTGTGCCCACATCCTGAAAACACCCCCCCCCACCCCAGATTCCTCCAGTATTGGTCTTTCCTCACCTTTCCCCAGGTAGCGAGATTTGTCTCCATCTCTTAGTTCAAGAGCTTCATATATCCCAGTGGAAGCTCCGCTGGGCACAGCTGCTCGGAATCGGCCTGGGGCAGGAGGAATTGTTAAATCACCCAGAGTCCTACCCATCCCTCAAGGGCAGAGGTCCCCAGGGGTGAGGAACAATGCAGAGTCTTCTGCTTCTGAGAGTTAGAGACCAGGCTGGCAGGTCTCTAACCAGGGTGGGAGGGAAGGAGGGCGGAGAAGTCTGGGGAAGGGGATCCCAGAGAAATGACAAGTTGTGGCACAGAGTTTGGAGACAAAGGGCAGATGGGGTTGGGGTTTTCTGAGGCAATCAAATTCAATGGGCCTGTACCCTTGGCAGTGTATAGGTCCACCTCCACTGTGGGGTTCCCTCTGGAGTCCAGGATTTCCCGGGCCAAGATTTTCTGCATGGCCATGGCTGCATGACAAGGGGTGTGAATGAGTGGGGACAGCTGATCTCATAAGGAACCCCAAATCCCTTGCCCTTTAAGAGTCTTCCCCACCCCAAGAAGGCAGGTGCTGGAGCTAAAAATAGCCCACAAAAAGGTCACAGACCAGAGGCAGGCACAGCCCCCTCCCCCACTCAGAATAGCTCCTATTGCATCCTCCCATCCTCCAGGGGCCTCTTCTTTATAACTCTAAATTCCACCACTTCCTGAACCCCCATCTCCCACAAAGCTGCATGAATGCCTCTCCCTTCACCCTTCTGGGCAAGCAATCTGTTTTCTATGGCGTCCTAGCTCTCAAATCCTCTCCTGTTACTTTGGTTCTCATTTTCCTGCTCCTCAGTCTTCTCAAAATCCTCAGGGGCCCAAACCCCCTACCTGGCTCCAACTCTACCAGTTTCAATGCATCTCTGCTTGCCTCTCCTTAGAGCCTCCTCATTTCTCTATTCTTGGGTACCCCCATGCTGCTGCACCAACCCCTCCAGTCTTTCTCAAGCACACCCAGTCCCGGAAGGAAAAAAACATGATGTTTCCCGTACTTTTTTCAAGCCAGCACCACCAGCACCCTTTACCATCCCCATCCTGGCACACTAAAAGATTCACCAGACCTGTGATGTCTTCGCTGGGGGTTTGGGTGAGCTCCGAGTCTAGGTGGCAGCTGGGACAGTGTCAGCTCACCCCCTCGCAGTCTGGGCATTTATCCCCGAGCCACCCTGTCCCCTAGCCAGCCCCGCCTCTTTCCCTCTCTCTATCCTCCCCCCTGCCCTGGCTGGCAGCCAAGTGCCCACTACAGCCTAAAGAAGCCTTTGGCCCTGGCTACCAGCCCCCCTTCCTAAAGGTTAATAACGACTCCTCTTTTCTGTCCCCCCAGTAAAAGGCCCTATTTTAAATTCTAGTCCTGGGGAGGAGTAAAGGAGATTCCAAATTGGGGTGTCTCGCCCCTCCAGAGGATTAGATTCCCCTTTTGCAAAGGTTAAAAAAGGAGCTAGCGCCCTTTGGGAAAGGCCAGGGGTAACCCGAGCCCCGTAGGGCTGGAAGGGGACTGGAAGAGGGGCTGCAGGATTGACGTCCACACATGCTCCTCTCACAAGGCGGTGCGGAGGCTGCAACTGCCCTCAGTAGGGGAGGGGGCCGGGGACTCCGGGCAAGCGCTGAAGTCTAAAATTGAACCCCCTACTCAGAAAGCGAGAGGGCCTCACCTCTCAGGGTCCTCATAGCGGCCCTTCTCGGCTCCACCTCACCCTACCCTCTCTGGGCCAGTAAGGGAGGTGGAGGGGGGTGGGAAGACGAATTTAGACGCGCCCTCGGAGTCGGCCCGGCGCCCCGCCGATAGCGCTGGTGCAGCACTTATCGCACTGCGGGGTGCCCATCCGTTAGGAGCCTCTTTTCCAAAGGACTGCGGGCGCCTCGGGGCACGACCCCAGCCCATCACGGAATGATGTGGACTCCGCAATGCAAAAGTGAATGAGGATGGCCTCGCCAGGGGGAAAGGCTGTCCACCCGGCTGCTCTGTAACAGCCGAGCGCCCGGGGCCAGACGGAGGTCCGCCGGGGAAGTGGGTCTCTGCATTCGGGCACTCGCTCCGCCGCGGCGGGCCTCGGGCAGCGCCGGCCCCGAGTCTGCCGCGGGCCGGGCCGAGAGGGAGGCGCGCCGAGGTCACACGGCCCCTCCTGCCGGCGCCCGAGCGGCCCGCGCCCGGTGACTCACCCCGGCGGCCCGCTCCCTCGCTCCCCCCTCCCCGTCTGCCCCGCGGTGCCTGCTCCGCCAGCCCCCACCCAGGAATCCCTACACCTCATCTTCCATCTCCCCTCCCGCCTTATCTCCGGCCTCTCCCTCCAGGGAATTCTCCACCCTGGGGTGGGGGGCGCGGCCGGAGGAGGTCAGGTTATGGCGGGCGGGGAGGCCGCCACGTGCCCGAGTGCGGCCCCGCCCGAGCGAGCCGGTGACTCAGTCGCGGCGGCTGTCGAGGAACACGGGTTCGGGGGGCGTTGGGCGCCCATCGGGCTCAGAGGGGTCCCAGGGAGCCGCGCCCGCTCGGCGGGACGAGGGACCAGCGAACCCCTTCCCGCCCAGCGCGCGCCCCTCCCCCAGGGACCGGAAGCGGCCAAGCCCCTCGGGGGCGCGAGCGGCGGGAGGGGCGGCCGGTCACCCAAACCCGCGGGGGCGCTGCCCCACCCCCTTCCCAGGTGGCGGCGGCCGAACTGGTCTTGCACGAGTTCTTAGTATCTAAGTTTTACTGAAAAAGAAGGAAAAAAACCCAACGGGCCCAAAGTAAAAGGGACTTTTTCTTTCTTGAAAAAGTTACAAATCTTGAAACTTCTTAGTGTTCTTCCGCATTGGGAAGTAGTCCCGCGCGCCCGGCCGCGGCCGCCCACGCTCCGTGCCCTCTGCGGAGACGGGCGACGGGCCGCGGCCGGGCTTCGAACTGCTGTCTGGGGACGGGCGGGGCTAGACGTGGGGGTGAGGCCTTGGGCTGCAGCGAGTCCAACGCGGGGGTCATCCCCGTGAAGTGGGGGTGGGCTCGTGAGGCCGACTTGCGCCGACCCGGCAGGCACGGGGAGAGGCGAGCGTCTCCAGAGGCGCCTTCCACCCTGGAAGCGGCCTGGTGTTTATCAAATTCCTCCTTTCTAGAATAAATAAAACCCAAAGTGCAGAAGCGCCAACGCGCACGCCGCGCCCCCGCCCCTTCCGCCCGGCAGAAGACACGTCCCCGGCCCGCCGGCCCCAGCAGGGGGATCCCGAGCGGCGCGGCGGGGCGCGCGCCCGAAGCCGTCCGCCGGCACCAACCGCCCCACGCGCTCTCGCTCCCGGCGCAGGCGCACGCGCCGCCGCCGCCCGCCGCTCCTTCCCTCCCGCGGAGGGGTGGGGGGTGGTTCCGTTTAACCCTGAGTTCCCCGAGCTGTCTTGAATTCGCTCAGCGTGCAGCTTGCCAGTTCTTTCTCTTTTCAGTTTCCTTCCCTCCTCTGGTCCACTTCTTTCCCCTACACCGAAGTCTGGCTTCTATTAAATACGAAGTGGGCGAAGCTTAACCCTAATCTTCTTCTACTCACCCCCCATTCTTTTACGTTGCTTTCCATCGAACTCGGCAAATTTTGCAATGGGGGGAGGGATTTTTAAAAAATTGCATTTGCAAAGTTCGGTATCTGAGCAGGCGGGGGGTTGGGGGGAGGGAGGGAATGGCACTGGCCCCGCCCCTACCGCCCTTTGCAAATAAAAATCTAGTGGAAGGGGGGGGAGGAGCAGGAAGTGGCGGTGCGAGGGCTGCTGCACAGCTAGCAGAGCCGCGGTCCGGACGGCAGCGCGTGCCCCAAGCTCTCCGCCTCCCCCCGCCCGCCAGCCCGAGGCAGCCCGAGCCCAGTCCGCGGCCCCAGCAGCAGCGCCGAGAGCAGCCCTAGTAGCAGCGCCATGGCCGGGTGGAACGCCTATATCGACAACCTCATGGCGGACGGGACCTGTCAGGACGCGGCCATCGTGGGCTATAAGGACTCGCCCTCTGTCTGGGCCTCCGTGCCCGGGAAAACCTTCGGCAACATCACGGTACAGCGAGGCCTGCGCGGTCCGGGGCACTGTCCCGACTTGGACCCTTAGGGAGGGACTTGGGTGGGGGTGGGCGCGGTCTGGGGAGGGCAGCGAAAGGCCGTGACCCGGTCCTTTCCCTGGAAGCTGCGCGAATGGCGGCTGCACGTGAGCGCGTCCCTCCATTGCCCCGTAAGCCCTACGCCCCAGCCGGCGGCTCCCATCCCGCCCGCCGCCCCGCTTTCCGCGACGGGGCGTTACATCCGGGGCACAGGGCGGGGAGGGGCGCGCCGCCCGGTGCGGCGGCCCACTTCCGCCTCCTCCAGGGCGGGGCGGGCACGCGTTGCAATCTCTAGCCGGGATTGTGATTGAGCGGGGACTTGGGGACCCCTGGACCCCCGGCTCCACTTACTCCCTTCATCTCGCGCCCCCTCCACCATTGTTCCCGCTTATGCGGAAGGGAGCCCCAGTCGCGTGGCCTGATCCCATGCCCATCATCTGTGGATTCCGTGCCCCTCCCAACTCCGTTAGAGAGGGCGAGGCCTCCCCACGCCCCCCCTAAGTCTGTACGTTGGACTCAACATTCCTGAGAGCGATCCCGGAAGTCCCCTCACCCTCCCTTCCCGCCTTCCGGCGGGGCCTGGACCAGTGAACTTTGTGAGAAGTTCTAGGACGGTGTAAATGAAGGAATAAGGGGTGCCCACTGCTGTCCCCATCATCACCTCCCCTGTCCACACTGCCCGGAAGTGGGGAGGGGGAGCGGAAGTTCTAAAGGGGGGAAGGGGGTTTCCGGGCGGGAGGGGACCGGATGTGGGGATTTGGGGTGCAAGGGGGAGGGGGAGAAATGGTCCCGGGGGTATCTAGACTAGAGAGAGCTGGCTTGGTGTGGCAAGCCCTGGCAGCCTTCAGAAGTTTTCTAACTTTCCCTGGAAAGCCCCCAGGGATCTGCTGCTTCATCTTGGGACGTAGATACCTGGACCTAAACTCTAGGTTACTTGGAGACCCAGGCGTCCGGGTTCCTAACAACTCCTGCAGAACCTTTGACCAAATAAGGGCAAAGTTGCTTCTCCTGCCTTGCCCGCCCCCTCCCTTCCCCTCTTCGCTTCTGCTTTTCCTGAAGGAGAGTTCTGAGCATCCAAAGGCTCCCACTCCATTCCATTCTACTCCCCTCTCCTCTCTGACTTTTGACCCCCTCCGTTTTCCTGGGTTTGCGTTCCGTATGAAATGAGATCGAAGTCTCCAGAGGAATATGTAGTTCTTTCCTACTGCCATTCTCTGGATTTGAGGAGATCTTTTGGTGCACTAGCTTCTAAGTCGCTCCATTTTCATGTATTATGTACAACGTACATCTCACCTCCTAGGGGTTCTAGATCCCTAAGAAGGGGCGAGTGGGCCCATCCTTGGAGAAGGTGGGAGCCTTGGTATACTAACTTGACTGGTGCTTGGTTTCCCCTTCCAGCCAGCTGAGGTTGGTGTCTTGGTTGGCAAAGACCGGTCAAGTTTTTTCGTGAATGGGCTGACACTTGGGGGCCAGAAATGTTCTGTGATCCGGGACTCACTGCTGCAGGATGGGGAATTTACCATGGATCTTCGCACCAAGAGCACTGGTGGAGCCCCCACCTTCAACATCACTGTCACCATGACTGCCAAGAGTGAGTTTCTGAATCTTACCCTTCCTTTAGCTCCCAAGGTCTACAATTTACCTCCTCAGTAATCTTTTGGGTTCTTTTTCTGTGTGGTTCCCTGAAAGCAAGGGAGTCAGAACAACTTTCTACTCCATTGTCTGCTGGATATTGGTACATTGGACAATCCCTCTAGTTGTCTCAGTTCCTCTTGTAATATAAAGAAGTTGAACTGTATTACTTAAGTTCCTTCCTACCTTGAGTCTTTTCAGATGAGAACTCCTGATTTTCTTTGAAGGAGGTAGACTATTACAAATCTGCAGTAAACTTTTGTCTTTTGGGTGCCTTTGTTAAAAGTTGGAGATAGCAGGCTCATCCACCGCCATTTCTAGTCTAAACAGGAGTCAACAGTCTATGAGTTTTTGACCCCTAAATTTTTAGTGTGTTCCTTTCCAGCCTTTTAAACTTGATTTTTTTTTCCCCCCTCTTGAAAAGCCCTATTGTTTTAGGGTGACTGACAGCCTGCCTGTGTGTGGGGGGTTGGGAGAGATGAGGTTGGGTTACAGCCCCCAGGGCTAGACAGCTGCTGAACAGCTGGCAGGGGGTGGGATTTTGACACCTGGGTCCTAGCCTCCTTTCTCTTTTCTCCAGCGCTAGTCCTGCTGATGGGTAAAGAAGGTGTCCACGGTGGTATGATCAACAAGAAATGTTATGAAATGGCCTCTCACCTGCGGCGTTCCCAGTACTGACCTCGTCTGTCCCTTCCCCTCCACCACTCCCCGCTGCTTTGCACCCCTCCTTCCCATACACACGCCCACCCACCATTTTTATTTTGGGGCCATTGCCCCACACCCCTCATTGCTGCCAAAACCACAAAGGTTGGGGGCTAGGACTATTTGGTCAAGCCTCCCCCTACCCATTCCCTACCTATGTGTGGCTGGAAAAACAATTTTTTTTTTGGTTTTCTTTTGTTTTGTTTTGTTTTGTTTTTTTCTGAATAAAAAAAGAGTCTAACAAGTGCTGTGTGGTTTTAGCCTGGCTGTCAGGATGCAGAGTAGTTAAGGAGACTTGTCTTCTTTATACTAGCTTGGGGTTAGGAGCAGGAAGGCTGCACATTTAGGAATTTGAGGTTCTTGGCTCCGTATGCTGGACTAAGCATCTGCTGCAGGTCTACCTGGCTGGGTGGCCTAGCCCTTCCACAGAGCATTTCTAGCCCTAGATCTTCAGTGCAGTAGCTGAATTGGTAGATAATGGACTAGAGCCACCCAGACCAGAGAATGGGTCCAGGCCTGCGGGCAAGGCAGGGCCAGTTGAGTCATCCTCATGTGTGGGTGGGGCTCCCCCTCTGAGTCACAACAATTGCCTGCTGGGGCTATCCCCATGACTACAGGTTACTCTCCAAGCATTCCCCTGCCCCTTTATGGCAAATAAGGGGGCAGTTTCCCAAAAAGAGAAGGAATTTACCTGTATAATGACCTCATCTTTCCTTAGTCCACAAAAACAATTTTATTTACCCAGTTAAGTGAAGATCCAGTCCCTTTACACTCCCAACCCCCTCAAAAAGAATGGGGTTGGCTAAGGAATAAGCCTGGGGCAGAAATGTCCCCCAGCCCTCAACATAAGAGACTAGACGGAAAAAGAGGGGCTGTGCAAAGAGTTCACTGGAGGGGGGAAAGAGGCGCATCAGATTATGATGGCAGATGAGGTGGAAGGAGAGGGTGGGGGATCTGTTGAAGACCCAGGAAAAGCAAGTGGAGTTGGGGCTAGAGAGCCGAAAGAGGTGGGGAGAGTGGGGCTGGAGCCCAGAAGTGGGGTCCGTTCTGAAACAGGGTGGTCACTTGGTTCCCCTTCCTCATCACCCCCTTGCCCCTGAGTTTCTTCCTCCTGCTCTTCATCCCCAGGACCCCGATGAACAGGCTGCTTGCAGATGGGGCAGGTCTTCCGGGTCTGAGTGAGCCAGGGGTCCACGCAGCGGCAGTGGTAGGCTGTGAAAGGAATGAGGTGAAGCACTAAGTGCCTGGGGATGGGATGGAGGTTTGGGCACAGGAATTGAGGACCTCACCATGAGCACAGGGAAGCACCCTCAGTTTATCCCCATCCTCATATTCATCCAGACAGATGGCACAGACATCATACTGGTCTCCTGGGAAAGGAAGAAAGAGGTCTATTTACTGAGCCATCCTGGACCAGGCCTCACAAGGATTCTGGGAGGCCTATAGTGGAGCTAAACCCTGCAAAAGTTACTTTCTCTGGTTCTACAGAGCTAGTTAAACAACTAAAACTAGAGCAGGGTAAGGCCAAGGCATAACATGAAGAAGGGACCGGCGAAAGCAGCAGAGGTAAGGGAAGTGGGTTTTCTGAGGGGGAGGTGTGAGAGTAGAGATAGAGGGAGTAGGAGGAGCGGAAGTGGGGGGGTGCAGGGCAGTCATGACCTTATATGGGCACTGGAGGCTCCAAGGCCTAAAAACCCAGCCCCTCACCTGTTATATACAACCTTGGACCTAATCCTTCCCACTCATTTCACTCTTCTGCTCTTACCACCTTCTCACTGCCCCCACCCCCAAGTCTTCCATTTAATCATCTCTGCTTTCCACCTCTTGCTCTCTCCACCCTTCTGTCTCTCCTGTATTGTATATATGGGTAAAAAAGAGAGAAGGTGGCACCACGGGCTGATGCCTCTTAGCCATCTTTCTCTGCCCCTTATTTCCACGGTTCAAACTCCCTCAGCACCAGGTAAGCTATAAGAGAAGGCCCTCTTCCCCTCACCCTTCTGATAATCATGGGTAGGAATCTGTTTCAGTTGTTCTTTGGTCAGTCGATTCCTCTGAAGCCTTTTCCGGTGCTGGATACAACGAACTATCTGGGGGAAGGAGAAATAGATGGGTCAGGCCAGTTATGAACAAAACTGGACAAGCTAGTACAAGCCATACCCACCTCCCAATCCCAGATCCAGTGTGGCTTGAAAAACCTCAGCTCTTCCATCATGCTCCCTGAGCTACTTACCATCACTACTCCCATGGCCAAAACCAGCAGTCCCACGATCCCCGTGAAAGGGATGAGGTAATAGCCCAAGGGAAAGCTATTGTCTGGGACCAGAAGCACCTGAGCCCTGGGAAAAGGAAGACCAGTGTCAAGGGAAGGAAAAGCAAAGGGACAAAGTAACTTGCTCCAGACGAGGCCCATGAATGGGAAAGGGGGTGGGAAGAAAACAGAGGGCCTGAGGCTAAATGGTTGGGACACTGAGGCTTTGGGTTCAGGTAAGGATGGCAGTGCTGAAGAGGAATGGGAAGGAGGCACACATCCTACCCCTTCTCGTAGACGTAGCGCTTACGCAGGTACTCGGAGCTCGTCTCCCCAATGAACACAGATGGGATCCAGATCTGCTGCTGGATTTCCTCTGCAGGGATCAGGGCATTATACCAGGACCCAAACCTCCACTCCTCAAATCCTTTGGTAACTATGGAATTTGGATCTCTTTACCCCATCCCACCAAAGGAATGGCTGCTTTTCCCCTCAGCCTGCAGCCTGCCTACCATCTCTGCCTGAGCGCTGCTGAAAACTTGGCTTTCTAGATTCCCCAACTTACCACTATTCCACACCATGTTCAGCAGTTCATCGGAATGCACATTGTGTACCACTGCAGCACCATACCCAGCCTTCTGAGCATTCAGAACCTAGGAGGACGAGGTAGGGAATAAGCCATCACCAGTTTTGCCTCCCTTCATTTCTGGTGCCTATTTTACCCTCAGCGTCCCAGTTCCCACTCCACAATCAGCAACCTTGACGTCAAAGTTGCAGTCGTATCGGCGAAGCAGTGCAATGAAGACTGACCCATTGACCGGGGCCAGGGGTGGCGGGGCGATGGGGCTGCAGGCGTTGGCTGGGTGAGCCTCCACGAGGAACCCCTGCGGGAGAGAAGCAAACAACAGTTGGATTTCATCCACCTAGGATCTACTCCCCAAAGGGCCCACCACGCACACTAGCCCCCAAATGCTGCACTTCCTCTGTCCCCACGCATCATTCCTGGCCTCTGAACGTCCTGTCCGAGTCAGAATCTACCTTTCCTCTTAGTCTGTTGAAGAGGCAGTTATGGTGGTTCTCCCTTACCAGGGGGTGCATTCCAAAAGCCTCCATAGAGGCCTGAAATTGTATGGAGCCCTATATATTCTGTTTTTCTCTATATAAATTACTCATGATAAAGTTTATAAATCAGTCACAGCAAAGACTAACAAATGCAATAATTATAACAATATACTGTAATAAAAGTAATATAAATGTGATCTCAAAATAGCTAATACTGTAATATTAGTTATATGGTAATAATAGCTCAAAATGTAGCAAATATTTTTGGACTGTGGTTAACCACAGGTAATGAAACCAGGAAAGTGAAACCACAGACAAGGGGGGACTACAACATATCAAATTTTACAAGACCCACCTATGATCCTTCCTGCAGTCCCAGATGAGCTAACCCACACCCAATATTCCAAGTTAATTCAAATTCTGCCTTCCAGTTTCCCACTGATTGCAATTCGATTTACCCATCCCTATCACTTCTCCTCAAGTTCTGTTTCATGTTCCCTTTTCCAGTACACACACTCTCCTCCCTTTAATTTTCCAATTACTGCTCACAAGCAACTATACTGATATGTACACCCCACGTGAGTTCCTGCTATGCAACAGACTTTATGATGAAGTACTACAAAAGTTGATCTTCACACTATCCCTGAGATAACGTCTGTTACCCCATTTTACATTACAATTAGGTTGACAGAAAATACAAATTTGTGTCTTGTGTAAGGCGATAAAACCAATTAATTGGCTCTAATGCCCTACAGAAAATACAAACTTGTGTCTTGTGTAAGGCGATAAAACCAATTAATTGGCTCTAATGCCCTACTGATAAGCACTTCACCCTCCCCTTCATTTAGTCCACTTTTGGTCTCCTTCCTAAGGCTCACAGGTCTAAGGGTGAGCACTTTGTCTTTTCCTCTAGGTTTTGGATTTCACATTAGATGTGCATTTAATTCCTAAATTCCAGCTTCACCCAAGAGCAAGGTTCCTCAACCCATAACCAGGGTGAAGGGTTTGGGAAAACAGGATAAAAGGAAGAAAATCACCTGAAGCCCCTCCTGGCTCAAGGCAGCCCCAAAGAGAGCTGGGAGGTCTTCAAAGTCCATGCTAATATTGTGGTCCACCGTCTGCGGACAGAAGAGCAACAATGCCTTTCAGCTTGCAACCTCTCCCTTCTGTGCCCCCACCCCCCATCTGCCCCGCAGACTCACCGCTCGAATGAGCCCACGGATGGGGGCCGCTCCCCACAGCACAGTGGCCATCACCACAGGAAGCGGGAAAGCCGCAGGGTGCATGGCAGCGGGAGGGGAGAGGCTGAGGAGGCCTCGTCTTGGCAGCAGGAGCTGAAGCGTAGTTCTGTGTCCTCTCCTTCAAGATCCCAGGGGCTTAACTACCCCCAGGTCCCACTTCCCAGCTACATGGGGGCGCGGGGAAAGCGCCCCAACTTGGGGAGTGAGCGATCCAACCCGCTTAGTGGAGTTGGGAGGTAGACACTAAATGTATCCTTTTTTGGTATGTGGATGAAATGGGGAAAAGGGATGAAGGCAAGCACAGGTGACAGAAAAACTTCTGGAAGGGTGGGGGAACTCAGGGAGGTGGGACTTCCGGCCAGGTGGCCCGTCTTCCTATTCCCAGGAAGAGGGTTTCCGGCAAAGAAAGTCAGGCCGCTTCCAGCATTGGACGCTCAAGATGAAGGACTTCCGGTCCTAAAAGGCCGGTTAAAAGAAAGGTTAGAAGTGGAGAGAGTAACTGTGGAGATGCAGGGCGCATCGACCCCCTAGGAGAGACCCTCGCTGTTTGCGCTTTAGTGCCGGGACCCAGGAGCTGCGGGCTTACAAACCTCTTATTTCCTCGGGCCGCCGTCGCCACAGCCGCTGCGGTACCTTCAAGTCTCGCGAGAATTCTCCACACACTTCCTTCCCACCAGCTGAACGCTTGCTAAATCTATCGCGAGAAACCCAACTCTGGCCTGCCTTGCTCCCTCGATCTCGCGATACCTTCAAACCACCTCCTTTCCTTTTCCCGCGATTCCAATTTGGTAAAAACTGAACTTACGCTCTGGCTTCCCAACTCAGCCACACCCCTTCTCGCAACACATCCTTTAGCTCCGCCTTACTCCCGGCCTCCTTTGCGCTGCGCGCCTGCGTCTGCGTCTGCGCCACCTTCCAGCTAGTGCTGGACCTAAGAGCTGGAGGGGCGTGCGCGCGCCCTCGCCCCTGTTGCGCGCGCGGTGTCACCTTGGGCGCGAGCGGGGCCGCGCGCGCACGGGAGCGGGAGCAGAGGGCCATTGAGTGGCGATGGCGGCGACAGCGAGTCCTGGGGCCGGCGGGGTGGACGGGAAACCCCGTACCTCCCCTAAGTCCGTCAAGTTCCTGTTTGGGGGCCTGGCCGGGTAAGCTCAGGCCCCAGGAATGGGAGAGGAGGAGGAAGGGACGGGTGCAAGGAACCGGGCCAGGTTCATCTTTGGGTCTGTTGCTGTGAACCGAGCTGAGACAGGGTCAGCGGGGTTCCCAGCGTCTAGCGAGGTCCTTGATGGGCTGCCAGGGTCTTTTCACCCATTGCAGGGGCCCTGCTGAGTTCAGGGTCATTGTATGGCCTCCACCGGGCTACCTCAGTTTCCCAACCCATCGGCTCTGCTGGGTTGTGTGGGCTTCTGAGTCACTGCATGACTCCTGCCAGGATACCTGGTGTCCTAGGTCATGAACGCCTCCCTCCCCTCCTTGCTTGTCCCGACACTGCTTGACCCCCATGGAATTGCTTAGAATACTTTGATTGCATGGCCCCTATTGGACTGTTGAACTTTTTAGGCTGGTTGCTTTTGGTTCACACAGTAACTCATGCACATGCCTACCAGCTTCCTGAACAGTCATTTGCACGACAGACCCAGCCCTCTGTGACACCTTAAGGCCAGGCTTCAATGGTCATTGGTAGATTTGGCATACCTGGTCCTTGACTCCATCCCTCTCGTCTCACAGGATGGGAGCTACAGTTTTTGTGCAGCCCCTGGACCTGGTGAAGAATCGTATGCAGCTGAGTGGAGAAGGGGCCAAGACTCGAGAATACAAAACCAGCTTCCACGCCCTCACTAGCATCCTGAAAACAGAAGGACTGAGGGGCATTTATACTGGGTATTGGGGTCACAGAATGGGGGGGGGGTAGGCCGTGGGTTGGCAGCTCCAGAGCTTGGCCTGATGCGCTGACCCCTTCACTCTCAGGCTGTCAGCTGGCCTCCTGCGCCAGGCCACCTACACCACCACCCGCCTTGGCATCTATACCGTGCTCTTTGAGCGCCTGACTGGAGCTGACGGAACACCCCCTGGCTTTCTGCTGAAGGCCCTGATTGGCATGACAGCAGGTGCAACTGGTGCCTTCGTGGGAACACCAGCCGAGGTGGCTCTTATTCGCATGACTGCTGATGGCCGGTGAGTTCCAGGTCTCAGCCTACCCCCATCCCCGTTCCCTGAAATCTAAAATGAAAGGACTAAATTTTTATCCTACATCTAGAGCAAAGCATTCACCTGTTCTGGCCTCCCTTTCTTTGCTCCTGTGGGACAGAGTGGTCTATCCTGAGCTTGGCCCCTCCTTCCTGCCTTCCCACCAGGCTTCCAGCAGACCAGCGCCGTGGCTACAAGAATGTGTTTAATGCCCTGGTTCGAATCGCCCAAGAGGAGGGTGTTCCCACACTGTGGAGGGTGAGTGAAGAGGTGGAGATTTGGGGGGTGTGGGGGTCTCGGGCATGTCTCACTCACCCCACCCCACCCCCCAGGGCTGTATCCCTACCATGGCTCGGGCTGTCGTCGTCAATGCTGCTCAGCTCGCTTCTTACTCCCAATCCAAGCAGTTCTTACTGGATTCAGGTGAGACCCGGAGCTGGGCCCTCAGCTCCCAGCCTGGCCAGGACCAGTTCCAAGCTGACTGTTACCTCCTGCTCTGCCTCCCTCAGGTTACTTTTCTGATAACATCCTGTGCCACTTCTGTGCCAGCATGATCAGCGGCCTGGTCACCACGGCCGCCTCTATGCCTGTGGACATTGTCAAGACCCGGTGAGTATGCAGACCTGGGCTTGAAGAGGGATGGAAGGGCTCTCTTTGTGGCCTCTTCCGCTCTAGAATGACCCTTTCTCCTTTCTAGAATCCAGAACATGCGAATGATTGATGGGAAACCAGAATACAAGAACGGACTGGTGAGGAAGCAGGGCTCGGGGCTTGGGTTGCCCTGGGAGGCTGTGAGGGTAGCTGGGTAAGAGGCACGGGACCCCAAAAGCCAGGTCCTAGCCCTAGCACCCTGCCTGCCTGCCTGTCTAGGATGTGCTGATGAAGGTCGTCCGCTATGAGGGCTTCTTCAGCCTGTGGAAGGGCTTCACACCGTACTATGCCCGCCTGGGTCCCCACACCGTCCTCACCTTCATCTTCTTGGAGCAGATGAACAAGGCCTACAAGCGTCTCTTCCTCAGTGGCTGAGGCGGGTGAGGATTTGGAGCCAGTGTGCGGGGCTCCCACTCACCTGTTATTCCTACAGTCAGTGTGTCCCTGTGGGCCTGAACTCTATTGCCCTAGGCCCCTCTATTTATTTTTCCTCCACAGTGTGGCTCCCTGCTCCACGGTAAAGGACTTTGGTCTGTCCTGCCCTTGCTCCAGCTTGTCCTGCTTGTCCTCCTCCTCCACCTCTCTGTCCCTGGCTGTGCCTTGGGAGGAACTGGGAAACTCCCTGAGGATTTCCCACCTTCTCTTGGGTATTAGTTTCAGGACACATAGGACAGCAGAAGAACCCCCCCATCTCAGTGGGGATTGCAAGGCAGAGCTGAGGGGACAGGAGAGAACAAGCTATCCAGATGGTCAGAGGGTCTTCAGTGGGAGGATGTGGCCCTTCCTCCCTCCACCTCACTGAGGACATAATCAATAAACCGGATTGATGACACCACGCCCAAATCTGGAGAATTGTGGAGGTGTGGAGGGGGCAGAGACCGAACAAAGAAGAGGATACCCTTGGAGAACAGGAACTGGAGTTTTTAAGAAAAATTATTAAAGAAAAAGCATCCGCTGGTTTTATGCAAATCTTTTGTAAGTCAGTCTTGTTGCAGCAGCTGACAGGGTGAGGAAAACCAAAACTCTGGGCTCTTTGTGTTGCATCTAGCCACTTGCCAAGAACCATGACAGATGCACAAGTCAGAGTCATCTCACCTAATCCCCAGGAAAATCCTCTGGGATCTGGTGACTGCTTCTGCAACCTAAAGAGGGAGAGAATAGAGTCTGTGGGAAGGTAAATTTGATTGGGGGATGGTGAAGGAGGTAGGGCTTGAGGGAATAAGTATGGAGGGAACTAGGAAGGTGCTGGCCAGACTGGACCTGGGCTCCAGGCTGGATCAGAGAGAGTGACAGCTTTATCTGTTTTTTTTTTTTTTTTTTTTTAAGATTTATTTTTATTTATGCATACAAGAACTGGGGTGTAGGCCAGAGGTGTGGGGGTGAGAGGATTCACCAAAGAAGGAATGGGGAGCAGAACAGGCAGATCTACTGAAATCCCCTGCTGAGGCGAGCAACGGATGAGACAGGAGAGTTCTGCTGCTGCCATGTGGGCCAGCTCCTTGGCCGGGGATCGAACTCTTGCTGCAGTGGCTGAGGCTAGCTTGATAGGGCTGAGAGTTTAACCCCTGTGCCACCAGGGAGGCCCATTTATTCATTTCTTTAGAAGGATTATGTGACTTGCAGGCACCTAAAAACCTCTTGGTGCATAAAAAGGCATGAGAAGGTCAACTGGAAGGAGGCCTAGGCAGTGAGTTTGAGGGCTTCGTGCCAGCCCAGGGGATAGGCAGGCAGCAGGTGGGAGCTGTCCTCTTGGCAGAGGCTTTCAGTAGAAGAGGAGGAGCTCAGTAGTCAGGTGTCCCTTCTAGACCCTCCCACCTCTGCCTCTCTTAACCCCTTTATGCCTGTGCTGCCATGGTGGCCACTTTGAGACTCATGAAGCCTGCATCTTGTCTGCAAGGAGTTACAAGTCCAGAGAATAAGTTGACATAGGAGCAGTTGGGAAAGTGGGAGCATCAAAGGGTAACTTGGAGCACCTGATCCAGCCTGGGGAGGAAAGACCTGTGCAGTATGGCAGTTAGATGAGTGGGGGACGGGAACTGGGTAGCACTCCTGGCTGAAAAGAGCAAAGGTTTAGAGGAGAAACAGGGATCAGGTGATCTATGCAGTTTGCAGTAGCTCCAGCACAGGTTGTGAAGTGTACCTTGGGAGAGAGGAAGCTGGGTTGTTGCATAGGGGCAGTGTGCAGCAGTCCTTGCTTGCTCAACTCAAGAGTTTGTTCTCTATCTGTGGAGGAGTTCAAAGCAGGAGAGTGATGCGATCAGGTTCTCCAGTTGATTCTTCTCTAACACCTTCTGGAGGGGTCATCTCCTGGAGCCAGAAAGTCTCAGCCTTCATTTCCCATTCTCTGTGCTGAAAGTTCTGGTTTGCTTGGAGGCAAGGCAGGAGAGAGCCCCATCCAGCATGGTCAGGGGACTGGGACAATTGGTGGCACCAGGGAAGAGAAGTGGGTTCTATTTGCCTGTGTCCTAACTTGACTGGGAAACCAGACACTATTGAGCAAAACCCACCGAGGTGGGACGCTGACAGGCCCCCTCCCCTTGTCCTGACCGGTGTGTTTCTGAGGCCACATGGGGTGAACACGTACCTACTTTTGCACTTAGTTCTGTAGGGTGCAGGCAGGTAGGCCTCAGCACTATCGTTAAGATCCAGGGAGATGTTTCTTGAACTGGAAACTGATGCTTGGGGTTACCTGCTGGGTGGTCACCCCTGGAGGAGAGAAGGGAACCCCCAGACCAAGGCAGTACAGGCTAAGATTAGTGCTTTATTGGGTGAGTAGTGCCACTGGGTGGGGAGGGCACTTGGAATTTGAGAGTGATAGTGACAGCCATGCCTAAAAAACTAAATTAAAAAAATATATATACAAATAACAGGCAGTGGTGGAAAACTAGAAAAGGCTAAGCAGAGGAAAAGAAGATAAAGCGACCTGCATCTATATGACAGATAATCAGGGCTCATGTATTGCTAAATCTGTTTTCAATACATAGATACATGTAGAAGCCATGCTCTTTCTGTTTTATTTGCTAAAATTTTCTTTAAACTTCCCCAAAAGTGATGGTAATAACTGCCCATCCAGCTCCACCCCCCTGTAGCACAGGAACTTTGTTCTGTGACCCACTCCATAACCCAATTCCTCCATCTTCCCACCCTCCTGATTTGCTGGGTCTGAAATTGTGTGCCTCTGTTGTGAAGAGATTTCTTTTTTTTTTTTTTTTTTTGGTGGGACCCTCGCGGGTGGCCAGGGATTGAACTGGCGCTGCAGAGGCTGCGGGCAGCCTCGCAACCCAGCGCTCAACCGCTGCGCCACCAGAGGAGGCCCTGTTGTGAAGAGATTTCTGATAAAAAGACCTCCCCTGACTGACTCCTTGCCCACCCACCCCCAGCTAAATCCCAGTAGGAAAGCCCATGAGAGCCTCTCAAACCACCCACCCTCACAGGCTGTGGCCACTGTACCTCACACCTACTGTACCCAGCAGGTCCTGACCACGACTTAGACTCAGGGCTGAGGGCCGCCGTCCTGCCACCAAAGGCCCCATGCGGCCATTAGGCCGTATCCACAGGAAGAGGCTGGAGCGAAAAGTGGGGAGTGATCCTTGAAGGAAGAGCAGCCGGGCCCGAGGCATGGTCACTTGCCTTCCCCTCTGCAGCTCCAGATGTGCGGTGTACATGGCAGTGGCCAGAGCAATAGACTGACCAAGGCTCAGGGCCTGTGGTTTCACATGCCAGACCCAGGTCAGCAACAGAATAAGGACCACGGAGGCAACCAGTAGCCAGAGGAGACCCAAAATGTAGAAGCCCAGCGGGAGGAGGCAGCAAAAGTCAGGCTGGAGGAAAGGATCATTTCTAGAGCTGTCAAAATTCCTTTGAATCACCCCACGGGCATTTGAGAAGTTGATATCTTCAAAGAGGATTGTTGTGAATTCTAAAGAACTAGGTTGTGTGGTGGTCTGGCTTGTGAACTCAGGCGTGGTTGTGGGTCCTGGGATGGTTAGAGTTATGGGTTCTGGGGTGGTCGAGGTTGTGGTGGGCTCCGGGGTGGTCCGGGTGGTGGTGGGCTCTGGGGGGGTCGGGATGGTGGTGGGCTCCGGGGTGGTCCTGGTGGTGGTGGGCTCTGGTGTGGTCCGGGTGGTGATTGGCTCCGGGGTGGTCGGGGTGGTGGTGGGCTCCGGTGTGGTCCGGGTGGTGGTTGGCTCCGGGGGGGTCGGCATGGTGGTGGGCTCTGGGGTGGTCGGGGTGGTGGTGGGCTCTGGGGTGGTCCGGGTGGTGGTTGGCTTCGGGGGGGTCCGGGTGGTGGTGGGCTCTGGGGTGGTCGGGGTGGTGCTGGGCTCTGGGGTTGTAAGCTCTAGGGTCATATGGGGTATGGGGAGTTCAGTAGTGGGTCTCGGAGGTGTGGAGAGTGTGAGGGCTTCTGTGGTCATTGGGAATGTGGTCTGTGTCTCAGTGGATTCTTGGGTTGGTGACAAGTAGGGCATTCGGCTGTTTAGAATATTGCTTGATTCTGAGGAGAGTAGTCCCGGGTGGGGTGTATGGGCTTCCGTGATGGTGGAGAACCTGCTCACAGCCCTTGTGGTAGGCTTCTCTTCTAAATAGTCGTCATAGTCTGTGTCATCCCCATCATTGGGGCTGGGGCACCCTTCCCCTGGGTACTGGTAGACAGGAACTTTGATTAAATTCACACACTGCACACTTTTCACATTGGGGGTCATGGCCTTGACATCCACACCCTCCTGCCATAAATAGACATTGTTGGCATTGTCCTGCAGCCAGCGACGGAAATAGAGGACCTCGCAGTCACAGTACCAGGGGTTGCCTTGTAGAAAAACAAAAGGCAGGAGGAGATTCCCAAAGAAACCCTTCGGTATGGTGCGCAGCCAGTTCTGGTGCAGGTAGAGTGTGTCGAGTTCCTCCAACCCATCCAGGAGCCCAGGGGGCAGCTCCTTCAACTTGTTATCAGCCAGACTGAGCTTCCTGAGCTGTGGTGTGGGCGCCAGCAGCGGAGGGGGCAGAGTGCTCAGCTTATTGCCACGCAGGTAGAGCTCGTGGAGCCGACTCAGGCCATCCAGGGAGTGGGGAGACAAGGAGGCCAACTGGTTGAAGGAGGCATCCAGGGTAGTGAGTGCTGGCAGTGCCTGTCCCAGCGGGGGCAGGCGTTTCAGCTTATTGTGTGATATGTCCAGGGTCTCCAGCAGTGGCAGGGTCCCGCCAGTCTGCAGCTCGGCCAGCTGACTCTCACGTAGGTGCAGCTGAGTGAGGCGAGTCAGAGGCAACAGGGAAGCCGTGGAGAAGGTGCCCAGGGCGTTCTCACCCAGGCGGAGGATGGTTGTGTCAGTTGGCAGGCCTGGAGGCAGGGCCTTCAACCCCCGATTCTCACAGTTCACTTCCACCTGGCTGGCCACTCTGGAGACCTCACAGATGGAGTGGGGGTGTGAAGCGCTTGGCAGCAGGAGCAGCAAGAACAGGAGAGGCATGGGGACCTGTGGGCGAGGGGGCTTGAGTGGGCACCCCCCCCCCCGCCCTCCCATCCCTGGCATTATTTCCCAGACCCCAACCTACCTACCCCCTGCCCACCCACTCTGCTGCAGCCTCCAGGATCCCTGCCAGAAACTGACCTCCCACCAGTGCTCTCCACACCCCTCTAAACTGCTAGCTCCTCAACTGCTTGGCTCCCATCCCACCCTTAGAACCCCCTCCTCCCCCAGCCCCAAACTCAGCTTACAGGCAGGCAGCAAGACCTCCGCAGGCACAGAGCTTCTTCCAGGGTGTGACTCAGTTCTTCTCTGTTCCAGCTCTCGAGGAGGGCCTGGTCTGGGGCAGGAAGGCGGTGGGCATGGGGAGGAAGTGCCAGCCTGATAGGGACTCCTGTGACCCGGGAATTCCCGGACACAGGCCCTTATCACCTCCTTCCACCACTTTCCCTCAAGCCCTCCTTTAGGCTCGCTTCTCTCTCCCACTCTAACCCCCATCCCCATTCAGCCTCTATAAACCCCTCCAGCTGACACGTTCACTTCCCCTTCACAGCCACATTCTCAGATGTTGCCTAATTTAAACCTCACCTGCCTCTGCTTTCTCACCCCGCTCTAGGCTGGTTTCTGCAACCTCCCACCCCACCCTGACACCACTGACAAGGTGGCCAGAGCCCTCTGCACCCTCTGGACACATGTCCATTGTGATCTGTCTCATAATGTCCCAAGTTGTTCCCAAATTTCTGACTTCCCTTCTCCCTATTCCCCACCCACTGGAGCACCTTTTGGAAGTGGAAATTTACCCATATTCTTCTATTGCCTGAAACTCATCCGTGGCTCCTTATGGTGCTCGGAAGTCTAAGGTCTCTCACATGGCCTGCAGGGTCCTGTGTGATCTGACCCTTGCCCACCCACATTTCTTTACACTCCACTCTTCACTCTCGATGATTCTCTTTCCTGTGCCTGAACTCTCTTCTCACCTCTTATCCCTTTCTACCTAACTCTTACTTATCTGTGAACTTCCAGCCCTGAATTTCTTCCTTGGGAAAACCTTCTAGGACTTCCCAAATCTAGGTTAGGGGCCTATTTCAGAAGTCAACCACATGTCTATTGGTCAAGTGCACCTTCTAATGACAAAATGTCCCACCTGCTGTCCCCCGGAAGGGGCACCTTGTAGCCACAAAAGTAGGCCCCTCAGCTCATCAGTGGTGACTGGACAAGGGGTAGCACTTGAGCCAGATGATGGTAATCCACAGACTTGCTGTTTGCATTTTTTTTTTTTGTTTGTTTGTCTGTATAATTTGCCAGCTGCAAAAAGGATTGGAAATGTGGAGAAAATGAGGCCATAGCAGCAGGAAGTGCGGTGGAAAGTTGCCTAGAGAGGCCACCATGTGGGACAGGGCCCCTGAGGCTGTTGTTTTTGCTGAGTTGGTATCAGTTCAGGTAATGGTTGTAAACAGAAGATGGTCTGGCAAGTTTAGGATGGAAAGGAATTTGTTACAAATACATGGAATACAACATGGTGTCCATAGTAAATGCTGTATTGCCTTTTGAAAGTTTGCTGACAGTATTGTCAAGTTCTTTTTAAGATTTATTTACTTATGCAAGAACTGGGGTACAGGGCCTCCCTGGTGCGCAACGGGTTAAATGCAACCTATGGAGCTATCCACAGCCACTGCAGCATGAGTTCAATTCCGGGCCAGGGAGTTCCCACATGGCGCAGGAGATCTCTCCTGACTTGCCCGCTGCTCCCCTCAGCAGTGTATTTCGGTCAGTCTGCCTGTTCTGTTCCCCACTCTGTCTCTGGTGAATCCTCTCACCTCCCACACCTCTGGCCTGTACCCCAGTTCTTGTATGCATAAATAAATAAATCTTTAAAAAAGGAAGAAAGAACTGTGCTGTGCTTGGGCGCCAGCAGCCGAGGGGGCAGAGTGCTCAGCTTATTGCCACGCAGGTAGAGCTTGTGGAGACGACTCAGGCCATCCAAGGAGTGGGGAGAGGATTGTTGGACAAGTTGTTGTGTGTGAGAGGATTCACCAGAGACAGAGTGGGGAACAGAACAAGCAGACTGACTGAAATACACTGCTGAGGGGAGCAGCGGGCGAGACAGGAGAGGTCTGCTGTGCCATGTGGGTAACTTCCTGGTGGGGAATCGGACTCGTGTTGCAGAGGCTGCGGTTAGCTTCATAGGTTGTGTCTTAACCCCTTGCACCACCAGGGAGGCCTGAATCTGAAGTTCTTATCACAAGAAAAAGAAATCTACATATGGTGATGGATGTTAACCAGACTTATTGTGGTGATCATTTCACAATATATACCATTATGTGTGCACCTGGAACCATATAATGCTGTATGTCAGAGAGTCCTTAATCAAAAAATAAAGACACAGAAGAAAATACACTGTCTACTTCACAGCCTTCTAGTGAGGGCTAGTGAACCAGGTATGGAACCGTGTAGCCAGGACCAGTGCTCAGAACCAGGCTGCAGAACCAGTCTGGCGAGCAGAGCTCAGCGTCTGGGCAGCACCAGGTGGGTCATGAAGTTTGCACCTCTGGGCTGCTGAGCCAAGAACTCCATTTCCATGACCTCCCTGGCAGAGAGAATTCTGCACCATCCCTGATCCTCTGTAACATCAGCTCCTGATTCAAGGTCTAGGTGAGGGTTTGCTAGATTGTTCCCCTGCCTCACATGAATTAAAAAAGGAAAAGCAGGTATCTGGCTTTTTTTTTTTTTTGGGGGGGGGGGCTTCTGTAACAGGAGGGAGATTCTGCATGAGATCCAGAGTGAAGGATTTTACAAAGTGTAGAAGTCATACACTTTGGTACCTACTGAAATGATCCCGTGCTTTACTTTCTTCAAATGTCCTGAATCATGTTTTTTTTTTTTTTTAAAAGATTTATTTATTTTATACAAGAACTGGGGTACAGGCCAAAGGCATGGAAAGGTGAGAGAATTCACCAGAGACAGAGTGGGGAAGCAGAATAGGCGGATGGACCGAAGACACTGCTGAGGGGAGCAGCGGGGCAAGACAGGAGAGGTCTGCCGTGCCATGTGGGTATCGCCCTGGCCGGCTAGGAATCGAACCTGTGCTGCAGAGGCTGCAGATAGCTTCACAGTGCTGCGCTCAACCTGCTGAGCCACCAGGGAGGCCCTGTCCTGAATTATGTTAATACATTTCCTGATTTGGGGGCCTCTTAGTGACCTAAGGGTTACATCTCAGTGCAATCACCTCTACTGAGTGAGTTCCATCCCTGGCCAGGGAGCTAACCCACAGTAAACCTCTCCTGTCTCGCCTGCTGCTCCCCTCAGCAGTGTATTTCAGTCGTTCCACCTATTCTGCTCCCCACTCTGTCTCTGGTGAATCCTCTCAGCCCCTGCACCTCTGGTCTACACCCCAGTTCTTCTACAAAATAAATATTTTTTAAAAAAATACATTTTCTGATTTTGTATCTTGAGTGCTTGGAATTCACTTTACCTGGTCATAATGTGAATTATTATGAATTACATTCATAATTATGAATTACTCTTTTAAAATAATTCCAGGTTTTATTTAGATTTTTTGTAAGAATTTTTACATCTAAGTTAGAAAATAGGGGTGACCCGGGCCTCCCTGGTGGCACAAGGGGTTAAGCACAGGTCTATGAAACTATCCGCAGCCACTGAAGCACGAGTTTGATCCCCGGGCAGGGGGCAACCCACATGGTGCAGCAGACCTCTCCTGTCTCGCCTGTGGCTCCCCTCAGCAGTGTAATTCAGTCACTGCCTGTTCTGCTCCCCACTCTGTCTCTGGTGAATCCTCTCACTCCCTGCACCTCTGGCCTGTACCCCAGTTCTTGTATGCATAAATAAAATAAATCTTAAAAAAAATAGGGGTGGCCCATAGATTTCTTTTGAAGGATTTCTTTTTGTCTGTTTTTCTGTTTGTTTTGTTATCAGAGTTATGCTTATCAAATAAAGTAGGAAGTTTTATATTTCTGGTCCACTTACAGATCATAGGAATTTTCCATTCTATGTAAGTTTTTGGGCTAGTTGTTCTATTGTTGATAGAGTAGCATTGAAGTTTGAAGTTCAAATGTAATTTCTGTTTCTAGAGTTTTCTTTTTTTTCTAAGATTTTTTTATTTATACAAGAACTCAGGTACAGGCCAGATGTGAGGGAGGGTGAGAGAACTCACCAGAGACAGAGCGGGGAGCACTGAAGACATTGCTGAAGGGAGTAGCGGGCAAGGCAGGAGAGGACTGCCGCTCCGTGTGGGTTTCTTCCCCGCTGGCTGGGAATCGAACCAGCACTGCAGAGGCTGCGGACAGCTTCAGAGCACTGCGCTCAACCCGCTGCGCCACTGGGGAGCTAAACTATAAAGTTTTAGCTTTCTAGATTTGCATCTCTGTTGTCTAGTACAGACACTATGGGGTTGCTAATGTCTTATTGGTGGATGGAAACTTTTATTATATGATGTCCCCTTGTTTTTGGTAATTTAGTTCTTTTCTTTGCTCTGAAGTCTGTCAATCTGTTATTAAAATAGATGCTTTTTTTCCTTTGATTCCTATTCAGTTGTATCTTTTTTCTACCCTTTCAATTTTAGCTTGCCTGTGTAGGTGCAGGGGAAGTGAGTTTCTTCTAGACAGCATGTGTTGTCTCCATGTTTTTTTTTTTTTTTAATTTTTTTTTTTAATAGAGGCATGTTTTATTTATTTATTTGTTTGTTTGTTTGTTTGTTTATACATGCACTGGGTACAGTCAGAAGCGCGGGAGGGTGAGAGAATTCACCAGAGCGGGGAGCAGAGCAGGCAGAAGGACCGAAGTACACTGCTGAGGGGAGCAGCGGGCGGCAGGAGAGGTCTGCGCGCCATGTGGGACCCTCCTCCGGTGGCCGGGGAGCAGCTGGGGATCGAACTGGCGCTGCAGAGGCCGCGGGCTGCTTCGCAACCCAGTGCTCAACCGCTGCGCCACCGGGGAGGCCCCTCCATGTTTTTTTAATCTGCTCTGTCAATCTGTGTCTTTTGGTT